CCAAAGCCACTTTCCTCTGAGTCTGGCAGGGTGCTGAGCCCAGCCCTGTCCTGGAAGCTTTTTAATGGGTCTTAATCAGACCCACAGGGAGAAGTGCAGGGGCTTTTGCACTTCCCCTCCACTTATCAATTGGTAAAGATAAAGCAAAGCAAGGTTTGAGGACTGAGTAATTTTAGACCAAAGAAAATCAGGTGCCCTATTTTCCTACCGGGGCAGCAATTTTTTAAAATAGGGAGGCTATTCTGGCTCTGAAGTCTCACTTTGGCTTGTATGAAAGCTGTTCCACAAAGAGGAAAAACGTCTGGGGAGAAAATGATGTGAAAAGGTGCTGTCCCTGGCATCTATGAGGAAAAAGGAGGCTGGCTCGTGCATGGCGGGAGCATGTTCCGATACCTCCCAAGGTGGCAAGCACCCAGGGGCGTGTGGCTTCTGACTCCCATGGCTGCTCTTCATGCTCTGCTGTTCATGGCTTTGGAGACTCTTAGTGGGGGTTTCCCTCTCGCTGAGGACAGCCTCTGTCTCCAGCTGCAAAGACCAGGTAGCCTTTGCAATAAGTTGGTCTGTGCTGGCTGTCACTGCCAAACAAGCAGCACCTCCGCATAGCAAAGCATCTGTTGCTGTTACCGGGGGCTCCTGCCTCCGTGCAGCCTCGTGCACCTCTCAAACCATTAGAAATAAAAATCGGATGTGGAGCACAGGCAGGAGCGGCTGTGATGAACCTCTTTGTTCATGGGTGTGAAGGTGAGAGGTGGGATGAGAGAGTAGGGAACATTTCTCCAGCTGCTGGTCGCGACCACGCGGCTGTGAAACTCTTCCTAACTTTGTCCATGGGGATGTGGTGGTGAGTGCTGCTGGACAGGGTGGTTGATGAGATGGGCCCTTGGTTTTACTTGGTGGAAATACGGGTGATCACTGGCAGGTGCTTTGCAGGGATGAGGAGAGGTGTTAACTCCTCTTCCACGGGTGGTGTTTCATGAACAAATTAAGGCTGTTTCCAGGTACAGCGAAGACTAAACCCCAACCACCCTCCTGCATCTGTGCTTGCGGTTCTCACTTCTCTCCTCCCACCTCCCAACTGTTCAGATTGTTGTAAAGGTCCTTTCGTTGCTCCCCCGCAGGCACACACGGCTTTTACAGACCTTAACGGTGGAGTTATCCCCTGGTGTCTGGCCAGGAGCAGCTCTTGGTGGGAGGATTGCACAGTGTGAGGGCTCTGCTCGTTGCTTTGCCTTCAGCACATCACTGCCCAGGAGAATTTCAAGAATGAGGAAGTGCAAAAGCAAGGAGGTGAAACAGGAAGAAAACTCATCCAGAGGACTGGCGTGCAGAGGGTGGTGAGGAGAGGTGCAGGGGAGGCAGGTATGTCGCCATCCAGAAGGGCAAATGGTCTTAATAGACAGTAGTAAATCATTTATGGGTCATTTTAAGCTGTCATCTCCTCTGTAAAAACTTGAGAGGCCTGCCTGATAACAAAGGCACGCCGTCCTCTGAACTCCTCCTCTGCCAATTTCTTGTGAAAGGTTAGTCCAGGATTGTTCCTGAAATCTTCCTTCCCTGCAATGTTACCTACTCGCCGAGGTCCTCTGTGCAGCTGTGCCTGCTCCCTGCCCCTGCTGGCACCCTACTCATCTGTGTGAGCAGCAAGAAGCATCTGGGTATGTGACTGCTCTGTCAAACCCGGCACCCGCATCCTGGCACAGCCCCAGGCTACTGGCACGGATCCCCAGAGCCTGTTCCGGAAAGCGAATAACAGGATTGCGATGTGACTTCCCATCCCACCTCCTGCTGTGCCTGGAGCTCTGGTCTGTGCCCCCAGGGGATACGTCTCAGCCCCTAAAGCGAGCTGCAGCCTCGCTGGGGA